CCACGGATTCAAATCTCAATGGAAAAAGCTTATCAAAGCAATTTTGCCCAGCCATCCACCCAACCAAACTGGACTGAAACAGACTATGCCCCTCCTCCCCCACCTATGACCTATGAAAGAGTGGTGAAGAACTGCAGCACAGTACTCCACGCGTAGGCAATACCCTGAAAGGCTGACATGTCACCCAAGCTATTGTATGCTCTAGAGTAAAGTAAGTAGCTATGTCAAGAGCTAAATTAATAATGACTGAGTAGCTTCTGAGAGTATTATCAATGTACTTACTTGTGATGGTATTCCTTCTTTAAATTCAGCCTTTATTTAACCATACATGTTGCTTAAGTATATGTTTTAATGACAACAAAGGCCTGGGGAGGAGCTGCAGGGTAGAGAATGATCACACCGATGCACACAAACTAGGCAGTTTACCATTAATTCCTTTCAACTGGTGAGTGAGCTGCAGCAAGGGAACAGTGGGGGGGGGTACAATCTTTGCTCAACGGTAAGGAGAGCACTAAATATTCACTTTGCACATGCGGATTTCGCCAACTGATAAGGGGACTTATCATGCAGCAGTCATACCAAACTCAGACTTCACTGTCAAGCAAATTTTAAAATGGGCAATTAAACAGCAGCGATTCTTGAAGCACATTAAGCTTCAGACATATGCTGGCTCCATTCTCTCTCCTAGTAAAATGTCAACAAAAGATTATCTGTGTGTTACAAGTACTTGCTTCAGTTTGCATCTCTCTAATTGAGGAATATGCATCGACTTTACACACACACATACTGGGCCAAATTATCATCTCAATAAACAGTTTATGGCCACACTTCACTGGACGCACAAAGTTTATTATTAGCTGGCAGTTTGCTGGTTGGCGGAAGGGGAGAAAAGGAAAAAAATGCAAACACAAAACAGTCAGAGTGGGAATAGGAACTTGACAGTAAGTCAGGGCAATTTATCATTCTGTCAAACTTCACTGTCTGCTGCAGCAGAACTATCTACAGAGCGAAAAATCCCCACCCACACCCCAAAATGGCTGAGTGTTGAAGAGTGAGGCTGGCAAATAAAACATTCCATGTAGACACATTTGTCACTTTACAGCCATTTCACCTGCTTGACCTAATGATTACGTGTGAACTTGTTTGAACCAACAGTCTCCAAATTATAGTTGGCCCCAGACACTCGTTTCCAAACCCATTGTAATGAATGACATAACTGTTTTAGCACTGATACTGTATACCAACATCTTTTTTACAAAATCCCCATCTGTAAAAAAATACAATTCTAGTTAGATTTTATAACTTCTTTAATAAGACTGGAGTATGACTGTAATTATTCCCTGCAATTAATGACCTGTTACCAATTTTTAAAACCTAAAATCATTTACATTTTAAAAAATTTTTTGTTTTGTATTGATGTAAAACTCAAGTTCAGTTGTTGGCTGCATGTCTGCTTTTATCTGATAAATATTTCCACATGCTGTGACTGCACATTCAGGTTGCCTATGCATTTGTTGGACTGCTCTGCATATCCAACAGATTTAATGGAATTCCATCGATAGATAATTAGCCTATTACAACCTTTCGGTTGTACCACGTCCTTTGGACAAATCGGCCCTTACTATAATAACCAACTCAAAGATCCCATGGCAAATGGATTCTTTTCTGATCTGCTGGGAGACAGTCTGTGATTACATTTAGTCCCGGGCTCTTTCATTTGACCAGCATATCATTTATTCTTTGGTATACTTCAAAGTGTGGCCACTTCAAAGTAGAATGACTGACTGCCACTCGGACTCTGAGGATGGCTCTTTTGATCATCTTCTGAAAACTCCCCAAACGCAATCGGGGCAAGCACCAGCAATGAGGATTTGACAGCCATAAGATAAATGCACTCACCCTCACAGCTATCAGATAAGCACAGCATGCTCTAATCCATTAATATGAAAATGAGGGAGGACTAGACGTAGCTGGGTGGGGGCTTGGCAGCAACAGTCACATGCTTTGGAATGTGATTTCAAAAGGAGGATTCAATATTCAAAGCACTTAATGAGGTATGTGTGCCCTGACTAGCAGTCACCTAAATAAATTCTAATAATAAAAATATTCTTCAACAAAGCACTTTAAATCAGAGGTCCCTGTGCAGTGATGAGAGCTGCAATTTTTATACCAGAAATCCTAAAATTCTTGTAACGTCACAGTTTGCCCCTCAGTCCATCTCTTCAGCCAAAAACTCTCTTCTCCACCTCCCTGCAAGTGTCCTGTCCCACAGGCCATGTTCTTTACCTCAACTCTCCAGACCTGCTGTCCTCAAGCTGTCCACCAGATGTCCTTGGACTTTCACTCCTTTCCTCGTCACCTGACCGCCCCACCCATCTACACACCTGTTCGCACTCATCTCATCAGCCCTGCAGTTACATTCAGCCCAGAAAAAACATAGGAAAAATTTATTTGAACAGAAACGGCGGTACCTTGAACACCCTGTTGTGTACGCAAGCGCACTGCACTTCACTGCTTTTTTAATATTCAAGTGTTTATATAGACCTCGCTGCTGATTGGTAACACCTGTGACACACCCACCAAATGAGAGAAAACATACCTCAGAGCTTGATGCACGCAGTTGCATTCCATTTCAAGGAAACGTGTCATTGAACACAGAGACCGTAGCAAACTGCTCACCTGAGCAGTGTGCATTCCTAATCAGCCACTCACCCTTTATACAAGTTCACTTCCATTGTTCATAGTCAAGTTCATCAAATTTCCGTATCGGCCGTGTTCCTAGGTGCTTGCTGGCGTTTTGCATTATCATTATCTGGGCTTATATCTGCCTGCCTAAATGTTTGTTGCGCCTGTCTGCCTACATGAACCTGCATGCAAGCTCATTTTGCACTAAATCATTGAACTGCATCAATATGCCTGTTTCGTCTGGGTTTTGGATCCAGTCTCCGTTGCACCTGCTAGCCCACCCTGACAGATCAAAATGTTTGATTTTGTAATAGAATGAGCTCTGGTAAGACATTAACTGCCGCACTGAGCAAAATCTGTAGTTAACTGTTTCAGTATCATTTCAAAATGGAAAGTGCAGAACTAGCAACATTTTAGGAGATGTTTATTTCTGGAATACTGATAACCTACAGCATATGGATAATTTTTTTTTTTTTTTTACAGGATACTGTATTTTAAAATGGGATTTCTTTTTCTTCTGCTGATTTCACCCAGTCACAGCTCCACAGAGCTCATGGGTTTTTTCCTTTTATTTGATTTTTAATGGATGGCTTAAATTGTTTTATAATATACATTTTTCAAAATACATTCCTTAAGATACTGCATATGTATTTGTTAAAAAACATGTGGTGCAATGATTCGGGAAATGTAGGCTAGGGGAGAGCTGGGACGATTGAAACGTGGGACGAATGAAACACAGCGATTTTCTCGGAGCCCATACAAGTTTGATATGCCAAACTACCCTAGCACATACAGTCCACAGTACTTAACAGAACCGGGAAAAATCAGGTGGATACGTCACACTTTCACGGAGTTAAGAAGCGGTTTTCAATCACGGAAAGTAAATTAACTTAAGTGATCATCAGTTGTGTTGATTGTTTCTTGTGCCATGGTCATGATCACATGAAAGATTAGTTAGTACTTCCACATCCTGAAGTTTTAAATGTCAAAGTTTTATAGTTTAGAAGCTAGTGAACTTTAAATGTCAGGAGTCACTGTCGGGACGATTGAAACACCTGTTGCCATGCTACCTTATTTAGATACGGCGGGCGGGGGGCAGAGTCCACTAGGCTGCAGGCTGGACCACCAGGATACTCACAGACAAATAACAGGGTCCTCACAGTAGACCAGGAAAACAGGCTGCAGATGTACACAAAAAGGGCAACCAATATCTAATCCAAATGTTCCTTAGCTGTTGGATATTCTAGTTAGCTAGCTAAGTTATATTTATACTATTTTTATTAAGAAAAAGGACATAATGAGTTTGCAGTTACATATTAAGAAGGGCAGTGACAAGCTTTCTAAATAAAAACAACATTTAAATATATATCGTTGTGTTTCTTCCGTCCCACCCCTGTGTTTCATCTGTCCCGCACAGTAGGGACGAATGATGGAACAATGCGCACCTTTCCTTCAAAGTATAATTATACTGAAGTCGTTCCATATTTTAACAAGATAACACCTGGAACCGATAGAACACACACGTGAGTTGTTGATGACAACAACAAATGACTTCTGTCTGTAACGTAACGTAAAATGACGTATATCTGAAAAGTGTTTCAATCGTCCCGGCTCTCCCCTACTATTAAAATTACTTAATTAATTTCCATTTAAATTCATTGCACACAAATTGGTTCATATCCTCTTTACGCAAGTGCAACTGTGTCATTAGCTAGACAGGCCTCACTATGCAGGATGGACTAGTCTATGGATGAATCTGAACTATTATTTAATAGTGAAGCTAGATCTTGACACCCCCAAAGCTGAGCTGAGGTTGGATGGGGATACATGTTGGTTATGGCATGTAAACAAGCACTGCCCTTATCTTACTGTTGTATCTCTCCAGCAGTTTCAAACTAAGGTGAGACTGCTGGTCAGTGGGTCAAAACTTTCCCAGAAAAACAATGAATTGCAATTGTTTCTGCCCTTAAATACTCGATTCGAGATGAAAATGTTGCAGGAGCTCAAGTGTACTCACTCTCCATAATACTGTATGTTCACTTGAAATATATTATTACATGTATCCATTCCTCCTCCCTCCTCGTGTCATGAATCCATCCAACCTGATCTTTCTCTTGCTGCATCCCCTCCCCTTCCATCTCTTCATCTGCAACATAACTACCAGTCCTCCCTTGTCCTCAGTCTATCACCTATTGATTCTGTCCAAGCTTCCTCGTTTCCTCTCTCTATTTATCCCTCCCTCCCTTCCATCCATCCTTTATCCATCCATCCAGCCAATCATTAGCATAGGTATGTGAGAGGTGAAGTGAACTCACCTAATGGGGTTATGTGTCTCCAGGAAATGGTTGGCTCAGGTTTCCCACTGGCTGTGCAGATGAGCAACACATTGCTGCCCTCGTTTACCGTGATGTCAGAGGAAATGTCATATATCTTGGGAGGAACTAGGAAAAAAAGAAGTAAAGAAAATACAGAAACAAGATTAGCATTTCAAATGTGCAACCTGTGGTTCATTCGCCAATAGCATCTATACATAATATTACATTAGAGAGTAAAGGAAGGTATGATGGGTATTTTAACTGGCCATTGTTCCAGTTTTGACGAAGGGGATCCAGTACATGTTAAACTTTAATGACCCCTCACTTTAAGTCTAGTTCACACTTCACGATTTTAAGCCCGATTTGCCGGTCAGCAAGCTCAGTGACCGTCAGGCTGTGATCAGGGGTATATAAGTGATCGATCGGTGGTCGCCAGTCTTGAACTACTCAAGGATGCGTCAAAATGGCTCTACGACATATTTCTTCCAGATATCTAGCATGTCAGATATCTGGAAGAGTCGGCCGACTCAACATCTACATCCAGTGAATGAGAGCAGGCAGCTGGCAGAACAGGCAGCTACTTTTTCACTGCAAAACACTTTTTACTCACCTCCAACTCTCTCTGTAGCACAGAGAATCCCAGCTACCTGCGTGTGCTAATCCATTCTTTCAATCATATTTTTTGTCTTTATAATTGGTCTTCTGGTAACAACAGCTATTTGGTGTGTAGGTTCGCGTCATTTCCCATTTCCCATGTGTTTACTGGACAAAATGTGGTTTGGAGACCAGCGTCGGGTGACAGAGTCGTTGTCAGCTCACGCAGTGTGTGACCCCCTGGCACCGATCAGTGTGAATGCCACAACGACTTCAGACCCCCGTCAAGACGCCAAGTTGTGTAATGTGAACGGCACGGCCATCGGCCGACACTGAAAATCATGTAGTCTGCACGAGCCTTAAGGTAAAATCCTGCTCACTTATATTTAGACTCCATGATTCAGTCTGACATTGCCAATGTATTAAATGTTCTCTGTAGGGGGGAGTATTTAATTTTCTTCTGGCCAATCACAGGTTTCCAGTCATTTAAACTGTATAGTTTGTGTAAGTCAAGCAAGATAAATTTGTTTATAAAAAAACAAACAACACAAGCAAAGGTGTCTTGAAAATGGAAACTAACAGACAAGGCCTTGGTTTTTCTAGGAACTGTTATGGCATGAATACTAAAACAAAACTAAACAAAGGTGTTTCAATAAACAAAAAACAATTATTTGTTACATTTTCGCATACATATATTAACATGCTGGTTAGGCAGGCAAGCTAACTAGCTAAATTATCAGAAATACAGCCCTGCTTGTACTCCACATTCAAATATTTTCTCATGTCACTATAGTTTTCTCATAAGGAACACTTATCTTGAGATTTGTCATGATAATAAGAGGAAAAACCACATAAATTGGACAGAAGCGGGTCTCTAGTGGTTGCTAACATGTAAGCTAAACGTAGCTTGCTAGCCATGTTAGTCAGTCACCGAAGTCAGGCATGTGTTCAGTAGTATGTCTTGTTTACAGTGCACGATAAACACACCTCTCTTTTAAAACAATGAGATCATCACGGACATGATTCATTTGTGTTTATTCTATAGTTAGATCAATATATAAATATATCATGAGGGGGGATTAAGCTGCTGACCGCAACTATGTTATGTATATTTCCTGACAAAGGTCGGCACAGTCAGTTAGTCATTTAGTCCCACCCGCAAAGGCTTTGACTGACTCAGTTGTTTCTCAAACAGCTATTCACAAGAACAAAACCAGACCTTTTTTGAATCACGCAACAAAATTGAAATGTGGGCAGTGATTCATAGCTCTGGAAGCAGGCTACACTTTAGGTAGTTTGGAAGCTGTGTATCATAAATCCATAAGTCCCTAAAAAGCATATTTTCGAAAAAGAAAAGTTCTTTTCTATTGAGGGCAGCTCATCAACAGTCCCTGCTGGACATCACTTACTATCATAATTTACAAGTTTCTGGGCACTTAAATCCTCTTGGAGCTTTGATGTTAAAAGCTTCGGTATTTAGGCTGCTCAAAACACACAGACACATACAGCCACCCACAAAGGCATTTAAACACATTCAGCTAAGTACACATGCACATGGACACAGACACAGACACACACACACACACACACACACACACACACACACACACACACACACAGGCTTATGAGACTCTATTTTAATCGGCAAGATTTGAATCTCTGAGGGAGCTTTTCTGCAGTGGACTGTGCTATATAGTAATGGCTTCTCAGTCATCTGGGGCTTCAAACTATTCTACCCTCTGATCCCTCCTGATGCCTGCTAAAAAACTAACAAAAGAAAAGTTGATTCAACAATTTCCTTCTTTAGACCCACCAACACTTTTTAGAGTCACATGGTCTCTTTTGTCATTGAGCTCCGTCCAGTTTAGCTGTGGCCACCCTCACTTACTCCTCTTCACTCTATTGTGAGCAACAATACAGAGGATGTTGCTAAGAACATATAATATGAACAATGACCATAACTACCATATGTTTAATTAGTTTTAGATTTAATTAGATTTATCTTACTGCCCTTGGCTTCCCTTGTAAATTATTCTTTAATCGAGTAAAGAAGTAAATAATAAAAACTTTTACTGAACCCCGCAATATGCACCTCTATAAAACTGAATCGATCGTCATCAATAAGCCCATAAACACTGCACTACAACCCGAATGTACTTTATGTATGTGCACTAATTGTATATTAAGGGCAAATAGCCTACAGTCTAATGCTGCATGGTGCCATCATTAAAAGCATCAATACTAGAACCATGGCTCAAGGACAAACAGATCTCTGATTCACAATTGGTGCCACCCCAGTCTGACCTGACCCAGCCTCACACGACACGAGTGACTGCTCAGGAAAACATTCTCATCACTGCAGTTTTCTGTTTTGTGGGGGGATAGGAGTCATTTTGATCAACAGATCTGGATCTAAATGAGATGAAAGAGGCGGACCTTTAGTGGGAGAGGACCGGAGGCGATGTTGAATCTAGGTTATTGCTTGTCAGACTCCTGTGTTTACTTGCTGCAGGACCCCACTGTTGACACATCTCCTCAGTGTCTGATAGCACAAAATTGAAAATGTTGAGGTTGTCTACTGATCCTATCTCTCTCTGGCAGGGACTGAGAGGTTTTCAAAGGTTCAGATGAAGAGCCCTCAGTTTTTCAGCTCAGAGACACTACAGCTGACTTGCTTTACTGTATAACACTGTTTGCCCGGCAGAGAATAACAACTAAGTCTGGGAAACAGAATAAAAGATCAATAGACCACACTCAAACTTAAGATGTGGCAAACTTTTATCATCTATGGAATATGGACGTCTGTGAAGAACTAACTGCACAGTAATTTATTCACCAGACAATAACCCATGCTTTTGTTCCATATCTTTAAAAACTATTGTAGTTAGACACCATCAGACCGCAACTTTATTTGAGGCGCAACAAACATATGGAATTCTATTCAAATCAATATTAAATTATTAAAGTATATGAATAAAAAAAATGCCTGAAATAAATAAATGAGGCACTGAATATATAAATACATATAAATTTATAATAAGAATATAAATTAGTCAATATAGTTATAAATAGGTTTTTATTTAATTAATTTGTTTTTCAAAATCCACATTTATTTATTTATAATGTGGCATTATGAAATAAAAGTCCCCTGAAATGAATAAATGTGGAATTATAAAATGAAAGTCCTCTGAAATAAATAATAGCAGTCCTTTGAAAACCTATTTATTTATTGAACTATTTTGCCTCATTTTCAGGATTTATTTCATAAGCATATTTATTTATTTAACACTGATCTAAATGGCATTCCATACAAACATATTTCTACATTTAAATCGTCAAGTTTAAGGAATTCCATCAATAAAACATATCTATTGTCCATTGGATGTTAACAATGTTTAGCTAAAGTTACTACAATAAAAGCTGTTGCAGTTAGACTACACTACTACTCTCAGTTATGGTGCAAAAGAATGACGATTCACTGTTAAGTATGAACCATTTATTATAATATGGGGAACCGTGAATATATGATAAAGGGACTTTTGACACAGCTAATGCATAAACAAAACATGATTCGGATCTGTTGTTTCTTCTCTAAAAAAACAACAACATCATAAACAAGATCTTATATAAGTGTGGGTCTCGTTGCTAGGTTACAGTGCTGAGACATTGCAAGCACTGTTGCTGAGGGGCCATAGGAGGAACATTTGATGTTGAGGGCTGAAGGAGGTTTCCATTTGGCAAATAGAAACTTAAATCTATTTGAAATTCCACACCCACTAATAAGAAAATCAAGATACCAGGTAGCTGCAAACATTAAAGTGTATAGTTTATGTCTACTTCTTAGTGTTGGCTGTTAATGGTGAAACTGATAACTGGGTAATTTCAAACTTAATTATAATTGTTGATTTCACACACTAATTATTCATATGAATGTGTGTGTCTGTAATTGGTGGTGTGAATAGCATTGTTCAGTAGCAATGTTAAAAGCCAACACAGCGGAAAGTCTTAACCTTGCAGTGAGGATAATGACGGTGAATGGGGTTTAAGGTGGCAGCATTAAAGCTGTTTCACACCAGTCTGATGCAGAAACTGTGAAAATGTGCATACAGAATTACAGAATTTAACCTTTGGTCACACCGGCTCTGATAATTTTCTGCATTTTTGTGTTACAAATCACACCAAAATAAGAAAAAAAAGCACCTGAATTGGATGGTGGTGTCAGCGATGACAATGTTGCTCCTTGAGCTAAAATGATATCATGGATTCTTTAGGCAGTGTATCCGAATGTCAGTGGCAATTTAATGCCTTTGTGTAAACGTTAGTCCCACACCTCAGAAGGCAACACAGTTAATACCTTGACCCACTCAGTGTGTGTCAGTGTGCTTCAGATGTATATTTTCATCTAATATTTTATTTGAATCATTGACAGACTATAGTATAACACAGCTGAAGTGGGATCAGACCTAATGGCTCATTCTGCTTTCTGCAAAGAGTTTAAGGTAATCAGCTTTTACCACAAGGTACAAGGATGT